CATACTTCAGATACCTTGCCTCTTTATCAAAATGTTAGCCATGTAGGTACAACATAATGGAAAACTGCCTTTGTGCCATTAAAATTTTTTTTGGTACTTTTTTATTTTAAAAAATTGAGGTATAATTTACATACAGCAAAACATAGTCGTTTTAAATTCAATACATTTTGAACAGTATTGCTACCTATGTAAACACTACTTCAACCCACATTAGAGCATTTTTGTCACCCTAGAAATTTCCCTATGTTCCCTCTTGTCAGTCTTCCTCATTCAAAGATAATCTCCGCTCTGATTTTTATCACCACGGATTAATTTTGTGTTTTGAGAAATTCCATAGAATATCATACAACATATTCTTCTATGGTTTACTTTGCTCAGCATGATTTTGAGATCAATCCAGATAAGCGTTAGATACTTACTCTTTATTGCCTAGTAGTATTCCATTGTGTGAATACCCCAATTTGTTTATCCATTCTTAGGCTGACAAACATGTGTCCAGGTTTTGGCTATTTTAAAATCAAGGCTGGTTAGTTTGCATCTGTGTTATAAGCGTCAGCTGCCATCTGCTTCCTCTTTCCTGTCTAGCAGAGCTTGCAAACCAGGCATTTGCCTTGCAGTAAGGGCTGGTTTCCAGGAGCTTGTAACTAAGACCACCACAAAGAGAGCAGAGAATAAAACTGAAACAGGCCTGCCAAGTCCCAGCCGGAGGCCTCAGGAGTTCAGCTCTCAAGCACAGAATGGCAGGCCTGCAAATTAACTGAAAGCACCCTTTGCAGAAAGAAAAGAAAGAACTCAGCGCTGAGAGAGCTCAGGGCACCCAATCAGAAAGCAGGAAAGCCACCGACACATTGGATCACATCACAGTGGTTGTTTTGAGACAGAGGGGTTACTCAGCATGCTGAGCCTGGACTACATACGCTAGTACTTGCAGCCCAAAGCGGGCGTCCCTGGAGTACCTGAACTGGGTGCCCTTCTGCTGGGACTTCTGGGACGGGGAGTGCCAGGATGCACTTGAAACACGGTGGGTTGCCTCTGTCAGCTCTTCCAACTTGAGCTACATAAAAAACTCAGATGCTTTTGTTGGGTAGGGGTACGTGCTGATAACTGGAGAAAATTTTAAAACCTCAGAGACTCAAGTGGGTATCCTACACTGAGGTGTTTAGCATATCACCCCAGAGCAGGAGTTCTGAGTTCTGGGTTTGAGAGGCCCAGGATATGTCTGTCTGACAGAAGAGAGCACAGCACCCCTCATCCCCACATCATTCCTTGTAGAATTCATTTCCCTTTGTGCCACCACAAGCCAAAAACCTTGTGGACTTTATCCTTTTTCCTCAGGTACTGCCACTTTATCTCACCTGTCCTCTAAATTTTAATGCTGAATTCAAGTGAGCTGAGTGCAGCTAGAACTGAGGAAATACAGAGGGATAAGCACAAATATTAAGTTAGCTTGATGAAAGCGCTCTTAGAGGATGGGGAATTGTGCAGGCCTTAATCAAAAGAGAGGAAGCCTTCTCCACCTACCATTCTGGAATGGCTTTCCAATTCTGGAAGAATTTATGGCAAAACTCATGCCGTGAGAGTGAGTCTGTGATGGATGTGGTACTGACCAGCCTTGCTGATACTTGCACCTAAGGAATTCTTGGACTGCTTGGCCTTGGACTCAGCCTGCAAACACTGTGCTCCATGTGCGTCCTAGCTCGGCTGGTTCCTTTCTGGTACTATATTGTCTGGCTCTTGCTTCACTGCATCAGGTCTTTACCTGGTTAATCTGGCTCCCACTTTTTCTCCAGGCCTATTTTTTTAAACTTGTCTCCTTTCCCCCTGCCTTCTTCAACTTAAGTTTTGTGGTAAAAACAACAACAACAAACTAAACATTGACTCAGAATTCTTAACTTTGCATTAGCCAACATCCCCTGCCAAGGCGCTGACCCTGAGCACCTGCCAGAAGATATTTTTATTGCCTTTAGTTTCATTATAGATGACAAAATACATGGAATTGGATTTCTTTTTCCTGGGATTTGCTTGCTACTTGTTTATTCCAACACCAGATACTATTTTCTGATTGAAGTTATTTATAGGCAATTTGATTTTTAAAACTTTGTGACACAGCTAGATCACCTCAGACTTCACGTCTCTTGTGGCTCATGTATTGAGAGGAGGTTCAAAATAAACCTTTGAAAAGTTGTTATCAGACATGGGAGCTGAATCAGTGACTGCCCTCAGACTCATGATCTGTTGGTCTCAAAAATGACTTTTATTTTTGGGAAATATACTATTTCCTTGAAATTGCTTGTCTTAGAGAACTCCAGTTATTTTTCCTAGTAGGTTACTACATCTCCTTCAGTTCTAATTTTGATGTGAGCGAAGAACAGATGGTATCCAGTCAGAGTTACATTTATAACTTCAAACAATTGTTTTCTCATAGACTTGAGCCAAAAGTTTTAGGGAAAATACTGTTTTTAAGTCTTCCTCTCCATCCCCTACCTTACCCAATTATAGTAAACACTTTACGTTCTGTCTACCCAACTTTCTTTGAGTAAAATCTTTGGCACGGTAGCTAATGTTTTATAATCAATTTGGTGGGGATGGGAGGAGAGGATTTGAACTAAAAGAATTCCTGATACACTCTGTGGAGTCTGTTAAACAACTTAATCTTATCAGTGAACATAAAGTTCATGTGGATCAACTTTTCCAGTAAGAGCTGAAGATGATGAAACAATGATAAATCAAGCAGGCTGGTGTTGTGGCATAGCAGGTAAAGCCACTGCCTACAATGCTGGCATCTCATATGGGCTCTGGTTTGTGTCCTGGATGCTCTGCCTCCAATCCAGCTTCCTGCTAATGGCCTGGGAAAAGCAACAGAAGACAACACATATGCTTGGGCCCCTGACACCTATGTGGGAGACCCAGATGAAGCTCCTGGTTCTTTTTTGACAGGCAGAGTGGACAGTGAGAGAGAGAGAGAGAGAAAGGTCTTCCCTTGCCGTTGGTTCACCCTCCAATGGCCGCCGCGGCCAGCGCGCTGTGCTGATCCGATGGCAGGAGCCAGGTACTTCTCCTGGTCTCCCATGGGGTGCAGGGCCCAAGTACCTGGGCCATCCTCCACTGCACTCCCTGGCCACAGCAGAGACTGGCCTGGAAGAGGGGAAACCGGGACAGAATCCGGCACCCCGACCGGGACTAGAACCTGGTGTGCCGGCGCCGCAAGGCAGAGGATTAGCCTAGTGAGCCGCGGCACCGGCCTGCTCCTGGTTCTTAACTTTGGACTAGCTCTGCCCTGGCTGTTGCAGCCATCTGGGGAGTGAACCAGTGAATGGGAGATCTCTCTCTATGTATAACTCTGACTTTCAAAATAAATAAATGTATCTTTTAAAAAAGGAAAATTATGGCCAACACCACGGCCCAATAGGCTAATCCTCCGCCTGTGGCGCTGGCACCCCGGGTTCCAGTCCTGGTCGGGGCGCCGGATTCTGTCCCGGTTGCCCCTCTTCCAGGCCAGCTCTCTGCTGTGGCCCGGGAGTGCAGTGGAGGATGGCCCAAGTGCTTGGGCCCTGCACCCGCATGGGAAACCAGGAGGAAGCACCTGGCTCCTGGCTTCGGATCGGCGCAGCCCACCTGCCGCAATGTGCTGGCCGTAGCGGTCACTTTGGGGGGTGAACCAATGGAAAAAAGGAAGACCTTTCTCTCCGTCTCTCTAACTCTGCCTGTCCAAAAAAAAAAAAAAAAAAAAAAAGGAAAATTATAAATCAAATAAACAAAAATCCTTGAGTTTTAACCCTCCAAAGACAAAGGCAAACAATAACATTTTGAATAATTGATCTCATTCTCTGTAGTAAGAATATTAGATTCTCCATGTCAAGTGTAATCTTTGTATTTGTGAATTACTCAAGGATGTTAATAAATTACCAGAGGTACAACTAAGGGAAGTTAGTGCATTACCTTATCAAGGATGTTTTAAGATAACATTAAAATTACATCATGGGACAAAAAGACATATTCATGAATTCTAAGACTTGATGTAGTAAAGATGGCAATACTACCCAAAGCAATCTGAAGATATAGTGCAATCATTATCAATATTCTGGTGTGCAAAAATGGAGCAGCTTATCCTAAAATTACATGAATTATAAAGGACCCTGAATAGCCAAAGCAATCTTTTTTTTTTTTTTTAATTTTATTTATTTTATTTGAGAGGTAGAGTTACAGACAGTGAGAGAGAGACAGAGAGAAAGGTCTTCCTTCCATTGGTTCACCCCTGAAATGGCCACAACGGCTGAACTGTGCCGATCTGAAGCCAAGAGCCAGGTGCTTCTTCTGGGTCTCCCATGCGGGTGCAGGGGCCCAAGGACTTGGGCCATCTTCCACTGCTCTCCCAGACCATAGCAGAGAGCTGGATTGGAAGTGGAACAGTCGGGACTCAAACTGGCGCCCATATGGGATGCTGGCACTGCAGGCGGAGGATTAACCTACTGCGCCATGGCTCCGGCCCCGTCAGAGCAATCTTATAAAAGATAATTCTGACTTCCCAGTTTTGGAAGTGTTTACAAAACTAAAATAGTCAAAAATGTGTGGGACTGGCATAAGAATATAGATCACTGGAATGCAATTGAGAAATAAATATACATCTATAGTCAATTGAGTTTTGAGAAGGGTACCAAGGCCATTTATAGGGAAAGGAGAATCTCAATAATGCAGGGACAGCTAGATATCCACATGCAAAAGAATTAAATTGGGGGCCGGTGCCGTGGTTCACTTGGCTAATCCTCTGCCTGTGGCACCGGCATCCCATTTGGGTGCCAGGTTCTAGTCCTGGCTGCTCCTCTTCCAGTCCAGCTCTCTGCTGTGATTGGCGTAGCTCCGGCTGTAGCGGCCATTTGGGGGATGAACCATTGGAAGGAAGACCTTTCTCTCTGTCTCTCTCTCTCATTGTCTAACGCTACCTGTCAAAAAAAAAAAAAAAAAAAAAGGATTAAATTGGGCCCCAATCTCATACATTTTATTTTTTAAAGAGAGAGAGGAAGAGTCAGAGATCTTCCATCTACTGGTTCACTCCCCAGATGGCAACAGCCATCATTGGTCCAAGCCGAACCTGCTAGGAGCCAAGAACTTTTTCTGGTTTTCCCATATGAGTGCAGGGACCCAAGCTTTTGGACCTTCCTCTGCTGCTTTTCTCAGGCCATTATCAGGGAGCTGGATTAGAAGTGGAGCAGCTGGGACATGAACTGGGGCCCATATGGGATGCTGGTGTTGCAGGCTGCAGGTTTGCCTGCTTTGCCATGATAGATTCCTGCCAATGCAGATTATGTCTCACAAAATTGGATTTTTGATACTCATGTGGATTGAATTTCCCACTCCTGGCTTTGGCCATAGCTCTTGTGGTCTTTTAAGGAGTGAACTAGAAGATAAAGGCTCTTGCTCACTGTCTGTTTCTCTGCATCTCAAATAAATAAATAAAAAATAAACAAATTCACCCAAATTGGGACACAGACAATTTTAAGAGCTAAAAACTATAACATTCTTATAGAACTCATAGAAGAAAACACAAGGGTAAATCTTCATGACTTTTGATTTGGTAATGGATTCTTCGAAAAGACACCAAAAGCATAAGCAAAAAAAAAGAAAGGCATAAATAAATTGAGTTACATTAAAATTAAAAACTTTTGTGCATCAAGGGAATCTATCAAGTAAGTAGAAAGACAACTTACAAAATGGGGGGGGGTACTGCAAATCTGGTAAGGATCTAGTATCCATAATATATTTTTAAAATCCTTTCAACTCAGCAACAAGTAAATGGGCAAAGACTTGAATAGGCATTTCTCCAAAGAAGATATGCAAAGGACCAACAAGCACGTTAAAAGATACTCAGCACCATTGGCCATTAAGGAAATGCAAACCAGAACCACAATGAGATATCATCTACACACTCCCCAGGATGGCTGTAATTTAAAAACAAAACACAAAAGTTACAAGCATTAGTGAGGAGGTGGAGAAATTGAAATGCTTATACTTTGCTGATGGGACTATAAATGGTAGAGCCGCTGTGGAAAACAGTTTGGCATTTTCTCAAAAAGTTAAATATAGTTACCATATGACCCAGCAATTCTTATCTTAGGTATATACCCAAAATAGTTGGAAACATGTATTCAAACAAATAGTTGTACATAGAATGTTCACAAAAAAGCACTATTCACAGTAGCCACAAGGTGGAAACAGCACAGATGTCCTTTACTGGATGAATGGATGAGCAACATGTGATATATGCTGTACAATGCAATATTTTTAGCTGTAGAAAGGAATGAAGTACTGAAACATGCTATAATGTAGCTGAACCTTGAAGCATTAGGCTAAACGAAAAAAGGCACATATAGAAAGTCACATATTGTGTGATTGTATTTGTATGAAATTTCCAAAAGAGAAATTCACAGGGACATTGTCAAGGGGCGGAGAAGGAGGAATTTGAGTGACTGTTTAATGAGTACAGCATTTCATTTTGGAGTGATGGAAAAATCTTGGACTCAGGTAGAAGCTATGGTTGCACAACATTGTAAACATAGGAAATTGTATATCTTAAAATGGTTAATATTACATCATGTGAATTTTACCTCAATTTTAAAAATTACATCATACAGTTTCTGTGATCTCACAAATAACTGACTCTGCAGTCATAGTTACCTGTGACTGTTGGAACCCACGTCCTTTATAGCATTAGTATGCTGGGAAGTTCTTTCCAGCTGTGGGCAGGAAATCTCAAAGACAGATGGTCCCAAGTGAGTTTCTCCCTAAAATAACAGGAACATAGCTTTTATTTTTCATTTTTATTTGTTAAATCTTGTAAAGCTTCTACCTTGAATGGGCTCCAAGTGGTTTTTTTTTTAATATTTTATTTATTTGTTTGACAGGTAAAGTTACAGACAGAGAAAAGTTGGCAGAGAGAGAAAGGTCTTCCATCTGCTGGTTCACTCCCCAACTGGCCACAATGGCCGGAGCTGGGCCAATCCAAAGCCAGGCGCCTGGAGCTTCTTCCAGGTCTCCAACATGTGTGCAGGGGCCCAAGCATTTGGGCCATCTTCTACTGCTTTCTGAGGCCATATCAGAGAGCTGGATTGAAAGTGGAGCAGCCGGGACTGGAACCAGCACCCAGATCGGATGCTGGCACTGCAGGTGCAGGCTTAGCCCGCTATGCCACAGCACTGGCCCTTCCAGGTGGTTTTAAAATGTGATCTGGACTGATAGTAATTTGAAAAAGTGTGTTTCAAATAACTTTGTATTTTTGGGAGATGAGCAATTTTTGGTTTTATGAAAATTTTGAGTAATCTCTGAAGAATCTGTGAGAAAGTCTTAGAGAATTGCAGACAGATTTTTCTGTACTGCATTGCTGGAGATTTTTGTGACACCGCCCAAAACTATGACAAATGCTTTGTATTGCCAGTGAAATTGTTGTCAGGAATAAGAAAATTGTATTTTCAGATCAATTAAGCAGATGTACAAAAATTAAAAATGTTAATTTCTTATTTTTATCATATCTGTTTTTTGAAGGAAGAACTTTAGGTTATATTCTGGGAAAATATCTGAGATTGAAAAGAGCTCCTTCAGAAAGGTAGAAATGCTTTGTTGGTCATGAATGAAGCTTTTCTTTATGAGAGCCTGATGCTTCTGGCCCACGGTCACGCTGTGTTTACTGGGAACTTGTTTGTCCAACAAATGTATTTATGTTGTTGTCTTGCACACTCCCTCCTGGTTCTTCTCATGACCCAGAAGATGCCATGCAGGCTTAGAGTCCACACACGTGAAGCAGAGCTACCTGGTTTGCAGTGGACTGAACCCACAGCTTTTGGCATCATGTTCTAATCAACTGAAATAGAGAGTATGAGAATAAATGCCTTGCTTGAACAAGGGCTTTCTGATGGTAATGTCAGAGGGGAGCTGGGAAGCTTAGAAGAGTATCTAAATACATGCAATAAGCTGAAGAAGTAGGTGAATATGAGTGTTTAGCTTAGGATCATTATTGATTTTGACTTTCTCAAAATTAGGACGATTTCTCGGGCTGGTGCTATGGCGTAGCAGGTAGAGCCACCACCTGTGGTGCCAGCATCCTATGTGAGCACAGGTTCGAGTCCTGGCTACTCCACTTCCAATCCAGCTCCCTGCTAATGCACTTGGGAAAGCAGCAGAAAAAAGCCCAAGTACTTGGGCCCCTGTACCCACATGAGAGATCGGAAGAAATCTGGCTCCTTGGCTTCAGACCAGCCCAGCTCCAGCTGTGGTGCCATTTTGGGAGTGAATCTGTCTGTCTCTCTCTAACCCTGCCTTTCAAATAAATAAGTATATCTTTTTTAAAAAATTAGAAAAATTTCCTTTTTGTAAGGCTCATAGATAATTTTTTAAAAGATTTATTTATTTGAAAGGGAGAGCTACAGAGAGACAGAGACAGAGACAGAGGGAGAGGGAGAGAGAGAGAGGGAGAGAGCTGAGCTGATCCAAAGCCAGGAGCCAGGAGCTTTCTCCAGATCTCCCACATGGGTGCAGGGACCCAAGCACCTGGGCCATCTTCTACTGCCTTCCCAGGCCATAGCAGAGAGCTGGATCGAAAGTAGAGCAGCTGGGACTTGAACTAGTGCCCATATTGGATGCCAGCACTGCAGGCAGCGGCCTCACCCACCACAGTGCCGGCCCCAATAATTATTTTTTAAGAAGAAAAAGTCACCTTTTAAGTCATAGGGAAGTAAAAGTTATTTTTTTCAATAAGTTTTTAATTGGGAAAAATTTTTTAACAAGAGCTAATATAACTGGACTTTGAGCTACTTTAACTAGACATACCAAAACAGTAGTTAAGGAAAGTAAAACAGGTGAATGTTATTGAAACTTACTGTAAACTTTTATTTTACCAGAGATTCCTGCTTATGAAAAGCAGCGTAGCATGTCATGTGTCTCCCTGAGTAATTTATTTCCCATTTCTATGCTTTGGTTTCCTCATCTGGGCCATTAGAATGATAGAATCTATCCAATAGGGCCACTTTGTAAGGATTGCATTTTTATTATTGTTAAAGGTCTTAGAACAGTGCCTAAGGCAGTGGAAAAGATAGATAAGTGTATATTAAAGACATAAGTGTGCTGATGTTAACTAGGACCTACTTTGGTGAGGGATGCTTTTTTGAAGGACAAACCTGCTTATGTTCACAGACGCTCATTATTGTATAGTATACCAGTGCCTGGACATTGTTTGAAGTTCTGAGACCTTCTGGTGTAATCACTTTGGGGCCATTTTATTGCTAATGGGCATCCCAACCAAAAGGAATGATTTGAGATAGAAAGAACTCAAGAGAAGTGGCTCTTCAGCTCTTTCCCAAGTCACTGTAAAAGTTCTTGAAGCATATTTCCTGGCTCATTCACCAAGAGTTATTGTGTGTTCAACATTGATGGTTGGCAGAATGGAACAACGTGGGGATTAGGGTCAGAGACAAAGATGAAGAGAACATAGCTATTTGCCCTGGAACTTTCTGAACCTCAGGAATCCATGCCAGGAAAATTCAGGGAGTGAATGGAAGAGCATCAGGAAATAGTGCATCCTTGGAACTGTAAGCTTCCATATCAGTTAAAGTTACCATTTCTTTTTTTTTTTTTTTTTTTATATATTTTTATATATTCTGACAGGCAGAGTGGACAGTGAGAGAGAGAGACAGAGAGAGAAAGGTCTTCCTTTGCTGTTGGTTCACCCTCCAATGGCCGCCGCTGCAGCCGGCGCACCGCGCTGATCCGATGGCAGGAGCCAGGATCCAGGTGCTTTTCCTGGTCTCCCATGGGGTGCAGGGCCCAAGCACCTGGGCCATCCTCCATTGCACTCCCTGGCCATAGCAGAGAGCTGGCCTGGAAGAGGGGCAACCGGGACAGAATCCGGTGCCCCGACCGGGACTAGAACCCGGTGTGCCGGCGCCGCAAGGTGGAGGATTAGCCTATTGAGCCACGGCGCCGGCTCCTAAAATTACCATTTCTGCCAAGCCGTCTCAGACTTAACTAGAAGAGAGGAATGGACAAAGTGAATCATCTTGTTCTGTTATCAGAGACAATCGATTTGACTTACTTCTGTTTGTATGTTTTAATTTGTACTAGCATTTTCTAGTAGTTATGAATTACCGTTTGTATTTTGATGAACTCTTTTTAAAATTCTCCCCTACTCCATTTGTATGTAGTTCTAGTGAACATTAGTTAGCAAAGGAGATTGATGAGACTGGCTAGCAGCTTCCTAGAATGTGTTCTCTGCTCCAGCAGTGATGCTATGCTGCTCTTCTCTAGGACTGAACTGCAACCGCAGCAACAAGTGACCCTTTAAAGATGCACACGGGGCTGCGTAAAGTGGGGAAGGCAACTGGAGAACATGAAGTAAGGAAAAAGTGTATTTCCCAGGTAAATATAATGCTTCCGAATTTGAACAAGTTTCTTGTTCCCTCAGTTATCATAACTCTGTAGTCCCTAAGTGTTCATAGTCATATTTTATCTTTGTATGGATGTTAAATATTCTTTTGTTTATTCTCCATTTTTATTGCCAAGCTTTCTGTTCAAGTGATTTCATTTTTGGTTTTTTGGATTAATGTAAAAAATCTATTGAATATATAATTAGGTGATACTTTAGATCATTTGATAGGAGCCTGTTACACCTTAGGTTTATAGTGGTATTAGAAAAGCATAATTATGTGTTATGTGTCTGTGATGTGTAGATTTAAGCCAGTGTCAGTTTTTTTTTTTTTTTTTAAGATTGATTTCTTTATTTGAAAGTCAAAGTTAGAGGGAGGGATAGAGAAATCTTCTAACCACTGGTTCACTTGCCAGATGACTGCAATGGCTGGGGCTGGGCCATGCCTAAGCCAGGAGTCAGGAGCTTCACCCAGCTCTCCCATGTGGGTGGCAGGGACCCAAACACTTGAGTCATCTTCTGCTGCTTTTTCCAGGCTATTAGCAGGGAGCAGAATCAGAAATGGAGCACAGTCCACATGGGACGCTATGGTTGGAGATGGCAGCTTTTCCTACTATGCCACAGCGTTGGCCCCAAGTGCCAGTTTTTAGCCTGAGCATCAAATTTATACTTATGCTTTATTGAGTGACTGACTTAAAAAACTAGAAAACTAGTTTGAATACCAATTATCCAAGCTGTATTCTCAGACTATAATATGTGTACATATATCTCTAGAATCTGTAATAGGACACATTTAAAATTTTTTTAATTTTTAAAGGTAGGAAGAAGGAAAGACACACACAAAAAGACTGCCATGGCTGGAGCTGAGGCCATCCAAAGCCAGGAGCCAGGAGCTTCTTCCTGGCTCCCACGTGGGTGCAGGGGCCCAAGCACTTGGGCCACCTTCTACTGCTTCCCCATTCCATAGCAGAGAGCTGGATCAGAAGAGGAGCAGCCAGCACTCTAACCGGTGCCCATATGGGATGCCGGCAATGCAGCTGGCAGCTTTACCCACTTTGCCACAGTTCTGGCAACCTTGATCATTCTGTAACTTAAAGTTGAGTAAAACTATTTAGTGGCCCTGAATCAATTCTGTACACCAGCAATGATGCAAGACAGGATTCTTGCATACATATTATCTAGGGCTCACCTTCTCTGACTCTGACCTGGCTGTGATTCAATCAATCTATAAGTGTTCCTGGTTCAAGAATGTGGTACTTGTTTTTCCTGCCTGGAATCCTCTGCAGCCAGAAAGTCACATGGCTCCTGTTTTCCTCCTACAAGCTTCTGCTCCAAGGTTACCTTACCAGTGATGACTCCCGCGATGCCTTGAATTGAAGATGGCATCTAACCGTACTCTGGAATCACTCTGTCCTGCTTTGTTTTCTCCATAACACTTAACACTATTGGACTTCTATACATACACTTGTTTGATTAGCTGACTTCTGTCCTCACTCCACATCCACATACCTTCCATGCCTGACCTCCCTGAGAGCAAGAACTTTGATCCCAGGATATAAAATAATGCTGGGGAGTAGCAGCTACTCAGCAAGTATGTGTTGAGTGGATAAGTGAGGCATGCTTGTGTTAGGAGAGAGAGTAAAGTAGATTTGGAAATCATGTGATTGGATTGAAAATGATTACAGGGCCAGTGTTGCGGCATAATGGGTTAAAGCCATCATCTATAGTGCCAGTATCCCATGTGGTCATCAGTTCAAGTCCCAGCTGCTCCATTTCTGATCCAGCTCCCTGCTAATGTGCCTGGGAAAGCAGTGGAAGATGGCCCAAGTGCTTGGGCCATTCCACCCACATGGGAAACCCGGAAGAAGCTCCTGGTTCCTGGCTTCTGCCTGGCCCAAATTTGGCTGCTGTGGCCAAGATGGAAGATCTCTGTCTCTGGCTCTGGCTCGCTCTCTATAATTCTGACTTTCAGATACATAAATAAATCTTTAAAAAAAATAAAGAAAATGACTAAAAGGGAAATGTTGTGGAGGAAGTATCTTAAACTGCATATTAAATCTGATAAATAGGAGGGCTTAAAAACTTTGTCAAATAGAACCCTTCAATCTAGAAGGTAATTTAAGCCCACTTCTGGAATATAAGTGGCAGATCATATTCTTATAACTGAAAAAATAGTCATGAAATATTCCTTGGATAGAAATGTCTAGGAAAACTTCGGATGGTTAAAGATTGGGAGGTAACCAAAGAGTTAAATGGGAGGTGACATGAAAGAAGAATTCCATGGTCAGGATAGAGGGTAACAGGCAGGCTCTACCAAGGCCTTCTGAATTAGGGGCTGGTACGATGGGGACATTGCCTTTGATGAAGAGGTTGCAGTGGGGGAAAGTAAATGAGAAGGGCAAGTCAAACTAGAATCACTAGAAGTATTCTTTAATGTCTGTCTCCATACTTACAATCTGGCAACGCTAAGCCATTTTGTCTAGTTCTAGCTTACCTTACTTCCTCTGCTCTACTCCTACCTAGAAGTATATTTTCTACACATCACACTTTTTCTTTTTTTAAACCACTTTTTTTTTTTTTTTTTTGACAGGCAGAGTGGACAGTGAGAGAGAGAGACAGAGAGAAATGTCTTCCTTTTGCCGTTGGTTCACCCTCCAGCGGCTGGTGCGCTGCGACCGGCGCACCCGCTGATCCGATGGGAGGAGTCAGGTACTTATCCTGGTCTCCCATAGGGTGCAGGGCCCAAGTACTTGGGCCATCCTCCACTGTACTCCCTGGCCATAGCAGAGAGCTGGCCTGGAAGAGGGGCAACAGGGACAGAATCCGGCGCCCCGACCAGGACTAGAACCTGGTGTGCCGGTGCCGCAAGGCGGAGGATTAGCCTAGTGAGCCGTGGCGCCGGCCTCACATCACACTTTTTCTATTTCACCTTTAAAATCTTTTAAAATCCATGTCTCTCTCTTTATTTTTTTTAAAGATTTTATTTTTTTTAAAGATTTATTTATTTATTTGAAAGAGTTACACAGAGAGAGAAGGAGAGGCGGAGAGAGAGGTCTTCCATCCACTGGTTTACTCCCCAGATGGCCACAACGGTCAGAGCTGCGCCGATCCAAAGCCAGGAGCCAGGAGCTTCTTCCGGGTCTCCATGTAGGTGCAGGGGCCCAAAGACTTGGGCCATCTTCTGTTATCCCAGGCCATAGCAGAGAGCTGGATTGGAAGTGGAGTAGTCAGGACTTGAACCAGTGCCCATATGGGATGTGGGCACTGCAGGCAGCAGCTTTTCCCGCTATGCCATAGTACCCATGTTTATCTTTTAAAGACACACACCATTTGATCCAGCAATTACATTTCTGGGAATTTATCTCACAAAAAAATCTCATACAGCTATGCAGGTAATCTTGTGCCACCTTAGCCTCTGTTAGATCCCACATTTGCTTCCTGCCTCAACAGCAATTGAACAGAGAACATTACCTCTTACTGCTGTTCTTCTGTTCTGGACATGAGTCACATCCCCCTCCTCTGGCCTGGGTATTAACTGCTGGCCTCTTTGCAGTGGACTGGAAACATTTGCAGAGGAGATAACTATTGGATAGTCCCTCTCAGGAGAACGCAACGGCTGGAGCTGGATCAGACTGAAGCCAGGAGCTTTTTCTGGGTCTACCCACATGGGTGGCAGGGGCCCAAGTACCTGGGCCATCTTCTGCTCTTTTCCTAGGCACATTATCAGGGAGCTGGATCAGAAGTGGAGCATCTGGGAATCAAATTGGTGCCCGTATGGGATGCCTGCAGGGCAGGCAGCAGCTTTACCCTGTATGCCACAGCACCAGCCCCAATTTTTATACTTCTTAGTTGTCTTTTCCATCATACTTTCTGTTTTATGGAATATTCTTTGCTTTATTTTAGCTTTTGAATACATTTTAAAGAGGAATAGTTTTTTTTAATTCTCTGAGTGCTAAAAATATTTGTTTCTATGTTTGTTTACTATCATCAAAACAAAAGCAAAAACTTTGCTTTCCTTCTGTATAAGAACATTCAGTCTCTTCCCTTTTTGGTATCCTCTTCCTCTTTCTTATCTGTCCCCCTCCCCAGTTACTGTTTTTCCTTTTTGCATTTTATATTTGTACTCTGAGATATACTAATTTTTCAGAACTTTAGCCTGATGGATTTTACTAGTTTTGATTCATTCAGTGACCACTGACACCTCACTCAGAGCCAACAGACACTGAGCTAGGAACAGAAGATGCAAAGATAAAAGCAGTTCTGACCCTGCCTTCAAGGCCCCCTTTCTGGTTAAGGAAATGGCGTGACATGCAAATCAATAATGGCAGAAGATCTAATGGGTCAGGTGTATTGGAGAAACAGGGCAAGAAGGGAGTGACATTTGATGAGTGGTGAAGGCATGCTGGGAGCTGAACATTACTGTGTATAATAGCAGGACTTTGTGAGACAAAGGATAAGAGTGAGAAGGCAAAAGCCTGGGGATGCACCAGTGCATTTTAAAAAATAGATTGTTTATTATTTACTTGTTATAAGTCAGAATGATAGAGACAGATACACACACACACACACAAACACACACACACACACGCACAGAGAGAGGGAGAGGGAGGGAAGGAGGGAGGGAGGGAGGGAGGGAGGGAGACCTTCTATCTCCTGGTTACTCTCTTGGGTTACCAGCTTCTTGAGGTGTTAGGGATTTATTCATTCATCTTTATGTCCTCTGAGTGTCCAGCGTAGTGAGTTCACTAACATTTAAATTGAGTGCTCAGGGGCCAGCACCCCTTAAGGTAGGAATATTAAATGGGTCCAAGAGAGCACCAGTGATATAAAAGTTCCTGGAATAAGTAGCATATTACTCAATCCTCATAAGAGGTATGTGTAATTATTTCCGTTTTATAGATGAAGAAGCTCCAAAGTTGTGTGGCTAATAAATAATAGGGACACATCGACTTCAAAGTCCATACTCTTTCCATTTAACCCAAAAAAGAAGACA